CCCCCATCCAAAACAAACAAACAAAAAAAGTTGCTATAATCAAGACAGCGTGGTGTTGGAATAAGGACAGATAAATAGATGAGTGAAACAAAGTAGAGATATAGACTCATGTTGAGGTGGGAAGCCCCATAAAAAGACCAACAGGACCCCCAGGTAGGGCCACTAGTCTCCTGCCAGCACCATCTGGTTCCCTGGCCCAGTGGCTTTATCTCACTTTTTGCCTCTGAAACTGCTAACTTCTAGGAAAGTGGATCTCACTCCTGATTGGTCCATTTCCCTCACTCCTGATTGGTTATTTCTCTCCCCCTTAATTGGTCCATTTCTACAAAGCCCGTTCCTAATTAGTCAACTTTAGTTATACCTTATTTGCATATGATGTTGCAAAGTGTAAACAGGCAGCCTATAAAAGCCTGTGTAAACCTACAGACAGGGTCCAGAGCTTGGAGTGTTAAGTCCTCTGGGCCTGCTGGCGTAATAAATCTGAGTTTTTCAACTCTCTGAGTGCTGCTTGATTTCTCACCCAGATCCAGGTTGCTGTAACACTGAGCTGTAACACGTTTTTCTGCAACATTTCATGTGATAAATTGATTTTCGACAAAGGTGCAAATTCAGCAGGGAAAGTATAGTGTTCAACAAATGGTGCTGGGATGACTGGGCCGCCATATGCAAAAAACGAAGCTTGATCCAACACTTACACTATGTACAAGAATTAACTCAAGGTGAATCATAAATGTAAATATAAAACCTAAAACAATAAAACTTCTTAAAGATAACATAGGAGAAAATCCTATGTGACTTTGAGATACGTAAAGATTTTTAAGACAGGTTGGGAGTATATCCTGGTTGGCAAAGTGCATGCTTGGCATGCATGAGGTACTTGGTTCAATCCCCAGTACTTCCATTTAAAGAGAAAAGAAAAGGAAGATTTCTAAGAAATAATACCAAAAGCACAGACATAAATAAAAAATGGATAAATTAGGCTTCATCAAAATTGAGAATTTCTGTTCTTTGAAAGCCAATGTTAAGAGAATGGAAAAGACAGCTCACAGCCTAGGAGAACACATTTGCAAATTACATATATGATATAGGACTTGTATTCAGAATACATAAGAACCCTCAAAGCTCAATAATAAGAAAACAACCCAATTTAGAAAAAAAAAGGCAGAAAGTGAAAAGACAACCTATAGAAGTGGAAGAAAAAAATCCATAAATCATAAATCTGATAGTCTAGTATCCAGAATATATAAAGAACTCTTGGAACTCAACAATAAACTGACTAGTTCAATTCAAATAACAGGCAAACTATTTGAATAGACATTTCTCCAAAGATATACAAATGGCCTATACTTGATATGCTTGATATGATTAGTCATTAGAAAAATGAAAATAAAGACCACAATGAGATTCCACTATACACCTATGAGAATGCTTAGAATTAAAAACTGGCCATTGTTTTGGGGAGGATGTGGAACAACTGGAATTCTCATACATTGCTGATGGGGATGTAAAATGACAGAGCCACTTCAGAGAAATGTTTGGCAGTTTCTTAATAAGTTAAATATTACAAATACCATATGGTCCATTCTACCCCTAGCCATTTATTTGCCCAAGAGAAATGAAACCACGTGTATATATGGACATGAATGTTTCTGTAAATCTTATTTGTGATAGTCAAAAAGTTTTTGAAAGGAACCAAATATCCATCAATAGATAAAAGAATGAAGAAATTGTGACATATTCATACAATGGAATATTACTTAGCAATAAAAACAACAAAGTATTGATCCACACAATAGCATGGTTGAATCTCAAAATAGTCATGCTGAGTGAAAGAAGCCAAACAAAAAGGAATGGCTACTGAATGCTTCCACTTATGGAAAATTCTAGGAAATACATCTAATGCGACAGAACACACATCTGTGGTTGCCTGGGGATGGGGGCAGGTTGGAGGAGTTGTGACAAAGGGGCGTCAGGAAACTGCGGGGGGCGGGTGACAGATGTGTTTGTTTTCTTGATTGGGGTGATGGTTTCATGAGTGTACACCTATGTCCAAAGCATCGAATTGTACACTTGAAGTATGTGCAAGTGTATGTCAATGATACCTCACTGAAGCTGTTAAAAAATGCTAAATCTTAAAATAAAAATAAATTAAAAGATTTAAGTTTGGAAAAGACACCATACTCTAACCATCTCCTGCAAGGTCCCACAAAGAAGCAGTGAAGAAACAGCTGTTAGAATATCCTAGCATTAAAAAAAATCGCTTGAGCTTTGTTAAACCCAGCATGTCCCAATTTTAATTTTACGCAGAACCCCCTATCTCCTCCCTGCCTCCAACATTTCCCTGCTCCTTCACCTCCCCTGTGGGTCATCATTCCATACCTTCCCGCCAAGGTCTCCGCGGACATTACCTGGCAGTTCTCGGAGGCCTGATCTTCCACAGTCCCTGGGTTCTGCTGGCTCCCCTGTTGGTCCTCGGACTCCTTCCCTGCGCTGGGCTGCTGCAGCCCTTCGTGCGCTGCAGGGACCCTGGAAGGCAGCACCCCCAGCTCACTCCCTGGCGTGGCCTGATCCTGGCCTGCTTGCAGGGACATGGGCACCTCTTGGGCGGCCCAAGATGACTCCTTCATCCTGGGGAGAACAGACAAACGGACACCTCAGTCTCCAGCCTGGGGCAGAGTTTTATATTCATATACTTCTCTGGAGTTCCCAGAGCACCTGCACTGGGCTAGGCACACCATAGGTTCATACTTAATGTGTAGGAGAAAGAATAAAAGGCTAACGTGAATTCCCCCAATCACAGACACTTTGATGTCAAGGTGTAGGAGAGTTAGGATATAATATTTTTATGATTACTCATTGCTTTTTCAAAAAAAAGAAAAATCTGGGAGAATGGGGAGATAAGAGAGGTCAGGAGACTTGAGACTCAGGTCATTAAGCTAAAGTTGACAGCTCTTGATTTGAATCTGTGTCTATCCAATCTCACTTTAATATTCTGGAGTATATCCTCCAGGTTTCTGCCTAAGGATATACATACATATTTTTAATGGGGATTAATTTAAAAGCCATCTTCAAATAATTGCATATTTTACATGTTTTTACTACAGATACACTTTTGCAATGCTTTTCAATTAACATTATAACCTAAAATTTTCCCATGCCAAAAATCTTTCATAAACATGCTTTTTAAGGAAAGCATAAAATTCTATATTTTGTAGATAATCATAATTTACTTAACCATTCCCCTACTGTGGGCATTTAGCGCACACTGGCATTTCTAATATTTTAGCGTTTAAAATAATGTGACAGTGAAAATGTTTGTGCATAAAACTTTGCCTGAATCTGGAGTTATTTTCTTAGGACATATTTCTAGAAATAGATGGGGGTAAAGACAGTCTTAAGGCAGTTTAAACAAATGCCAAGCAAATCCGTTGAAATGGTTTATATTTCTGCCAGCACAGGGTGCAGTACCTGTCTCAGGGGTGCTCAAACCTGGCTTTGATTGATTCCCCTAACTTTTCATGTAGAAGAGATTATCTCAAGGTTTTGTGTTATAATCAAATTTCAATAATACTTTGATCAGTCTCCCAAATCTTCCACATTGCCTCTTATGGCTCTCTCTCTCGATTTTTCTCTTTTTAAAAAGAATACGTTCTCACTGTAGACAAGTTTAAATATATATACAATATTTAAAAAATAACAATAAAAACACACAAATGTGTGTCTCCATGTCTTTCAGCCCCTCTCTTGTTCATTCTTCTATGAATTTGGTGAATGCATATTTACTGAGCATCTACTATGTGCCAGGCAGAGTCCCAGGCATGAGGGATTTGAGATTGAACAAGTACATCCATGCCCCTTGAACAAGACATGTAACAGAAGCTTGTGGTATAGTAGGGGAACACAGACAAAAACTCAACACAAATAATTATTTAGTGTGATTTGTGGTATGAAAGAAGTTCGGGGCTGTGACTGGGTGGATCCACCTTAGTCTGGGAGTTCTTTCTCCTCTCTCCCCCTACCAGGTGAGTCACAAGTGTTTTTCTCCAGCTCACCTTGGTCCTGCCGGATGCCTCTGCTCCTGGGTGCTGAGCTCCGGAGATCCCTCCTCTGATGCTTCTCTGTGTGTGGATCCATTCTCTGGCCCTCCTGGAGCTGATGAGGGCTGCTTCCCACTCCCCATTCCTTCAGTATCTGGAAACACAACCTAGAACAAAGATGCCCATGGCACTGGCTCAAGGATTGGCCTGTTCTGCAAGGATCCTCCCATTCCCTGGGCATCATCCTGGCCTCAGGGACAAGGAATTCCTGTGCCTAACTGGGGAAGGCATTGGAAAGAGGCTGTCGGTCAGCACCGATGGCTCTAGCATGAACCTAGGGTCCAGAGTAGAGCACCCTGGGGAACTTCAATACCCTCGCAAGTCCTAGAGAGGCTTCCATGATTTCCACTACTTCAGAACTCAGGCCCTGGAATGGGTTTTGCTTCCTATCTTGGTCTATCGCTTCCCTGCTGGGCGACCTTGAGCCAATGACTTAGAGTCAGTTCCAAGCTTCACCTGAGTCAGCAAACTCCAGGCAACCTGGTTTGATCAATTGATAATAATTGTTACAAGATGCTGCTGCAAGCCAACACTCAGGGCATCTACCACAGAGCAGGGCCAGTGCCAGGTGCCCCTGGGGATTTTACCCACACATGAGCCCTTGAGGCTCAAAGGGCTGCAGTGACATGTGACATGCCCCAGGCCGTACAGCTGGTTAAGTGGTGGCACTGAGACCTCATGGCCATGCTCATCAAAAAAATAAATGGGCAAGTAAAAGAAGTCCTGAATGTTTGCCCCAGCCTCTTTCCAAATGCCCCTCTTCAGCCCTCTTCTTGGGTCCAGGAGAAGCCATGATTTATAACAGAGGCTTCAGAGAGGGGGCGATAATCAACCCAGGGGAATGTCAACTTTTTTTATGGTGACATTTTTAGCTCTGGGAAAAGTAGATGAGAAGGAGGGTCTTCCCTGGGCTCTTCAGTTCGTGCCACATGGCACTTAAAATGTTTTTGATGGGAAGAGGCTGAGTAGAGTGATGAGAGCTTAGGTTGCAGTCTGGGGGGTGGGGTCAGGAATGGAAGCTTTGAGCAGTTGTCAGGGGAATAAAGATTAAAGTAGGGGAGGCTGAAGGCCACAGAAGGCACCTAGTAGAGTAAGCAGGCAATTCTTCTTTTGCTCACCCAGCCAGCATCTCTTTTGGTAACAGAAGCCAACATTCATTTATGGGAACTTTCCTGTCTCTATTTGGCCCATGGGGCTCAGCGGAGCCAGCTGAGTGCCACTTCTGGCTTCACATTATATCAAGAGATCCAGGCCACTCTGCCCTGCCATGGTGAATGGTTCAGGGTTAAACATGTGACTATAATCTGGGCCAAAGACAGTTATACCAAAGACTTTCTTCAACTATTGCAAAGAGGGTCTCCTGTTGGGAAGGCTAAGCCTGATGTTGTAAGATGGGAACATGTAAGCCTGGAGTGACCAGAGCAATTCTTGCCATTTTTCAGGAAGAGTCTGCCTGGGGATGGCACAGAGGAAGGCAGAGCCAAGAGACACTCATTTAGCACCTTGATCCAGCCATACCTGAAGTCTACATGTAGATTTGTCAGCTACCCAGGCTATTTCTCATTCCTGCCTAATCCAGTTTGAACTGGGTTTTGTGTCACTTGTAACTGAGGCTTAATAAAAGCAGATGGGGAGGAAACCTGGGCAGGGGAAAGGGAAAGGTGCCTGCTGGGAGTGGAGGGATCAGAACATGAGGGCCAGGTTCTTACCTGGCTGACTCCTGATATGATGGGTTCAACACTAGCCCTCTTGCTGGCAGTCCTCAGGCCAAGACTTGGCTGGGCCCTGGGAGACTTCATCCTACCCTCCTTATACATCTGGGCATTTGTGTTGTCCGTTGTGCCAGGGCCAACAAGGGTACCAAGTGAGGGGCATCAAATGCTGTTTTCCCAGAGGAGAAATCCAATCAAAGTTTCACCAAGCCCATTATCTAACTGCCTCTTCAGCCGACCATGTGGAGCCTGGCTCAAAGGAGGAGGTGGGGCCAGGCCTGGTACCTGTGGGGCACGTAGGAAAACCAAGAGCTTGCCACATAGTTTTCCTCATTCTCACAATGATTCTGAGGAAAAGGGGGCTCTGGGGAGAAAGTGAGTTGCCCAAGATTCAACACCAAATAGGTTACAGGGGTGGGGGCAGTTAATAGCTCAGTGGTAGAATGAATGTCTAGTATGCATGAGGTCCTGGGTTCAATCCCAGTACCTCCATTAAAAATAAATAAACCTAATTACCCGCCCCCCAAACCAAACAAGTGAAAAAAAATCTGAACAGGTTACAAAGCAAGAACTGAACCACAGCCTGTTGGATCCCCCCAAAACAAAAAATGTTTCCAACAGCAGCATTTCCTAACAGACGTTTTTGGGAATCGTGGTCCCATGAGGTATACCACATTAAAAGGATTCTGACGTCAAACATGTCTGGAAAGTGCTAGCTCAAGTGGTAGAGTGTATGCTTAGCAGGCATGAGGTCCTGGGTTCAATTCCTGGTACCTCCTCTAAAAATAAATAAATAGACCTACCTCTCTGCCAAAAGTAAATAAAATAAAGTGGTCTCTTTCCTGCAGGATCTCTCAGAGCCTTTAATATCATAACGTGCTTTTTAAAAAGTTAATTTATTTGAGAGATGGTAATTTATTTATGTTTAGAGGAGGTATTGGGAATTGGCCCCAGGACCTTGTGCATGCTAAGCATGCACCCTACCTCTTAAACTATACCTTTTCCCCACTGTAACATGCATTTTAAAGAGAACCCAAGAGTGTCATGGTTGCTGCTGCTATAGATGGAAACTCCATTCTTTTGGGGGCTAAAGAATAGGAGTGGGGAACATCTGTCTTGACGGCCCTGAAGTCTCCAACGGCAATGGGTAGTTTGCCAAAGCACCCCTATCCTGCCCTGGACACCTCCCTTTCTAAAGCCTTTCTTAGTGTTTCTCCTTCTGCCTCTCCCAGCCAGCCTCCTATTTTACTGTACTGCCATCCCCTACACACTGTTTTTTTTTTCTCATCTGCATTGCTTTTATTTCATATTCCATTAATTTTCAGTTTATATTTTATTGAAGTATAGTTGTACAATATTGTATGTTACAGGGGTACAATCTAGTAACGCACAATTTTTAAAGATTATACTCACTTATAGTTATTATGAAACATTGGCTACTTTCCCTACATTGTACAACATATCCTTGCAGCTTATTTTTTACATAATGCTTTATACCTTTTACTCCCCTGCCCCTACATTTCTCCTCCCCCTTCCCTCTACCCATTGGTAACCACTAGTGTGTTCTCTATATCTGTGAGAATACTTCTTTTTTCCCCCCTTATTTAAAAAAAAATTTACTGAAGTATAGCTGGTTTACAATGTGTTAATTTCTGGCATACAGCATAGTGATTCAGATATACATACATATATATATATATATATATATATTCACATATTCCTTTTCATATTCTTTTTCATTATAGGCTATTACAAAGTATTGAATATAGTGCCCTGTGCTCTACAGTAGAATCTGGGCAGACTCCTCGATCCCAATCCCACAGACTGCCCCCCTCCAACCTCTGTGCCCGCTCCCTACTTCTCTGTCTCTTCAACACCCCCCACCTCATCCTTCAAGCTCCCACCTCTTCTTCAAGCTTCCAACCACCTCAGCCCTCTCTCCAGCCTCTGAATTCCTTTGAGGCAACACCAACATTTCTACAGGGACTCCACGGACCTCTTTTCATTGTTAATTAGTTCCTAGGATTAAATCCTATCCCGCAGTGAGACCACAGGACCTTGAGGGACTTGATGGTGCTTCTTTCACTCTAAATCATGACAGACCAGCCAACATCCACAGGGGAACCTTCTATTTGCTGGGCATGTTTGCAAAATGATATTCTAACCTTCCTGTCCTTGAGGTCAGTGGGTTCCGCCCTGTTTTAAAGATATGGAAACTGAGGCTCAGAGTGGGCCAATGTCTTGTCCAATACCACACAGCAAGTTGGCAGAGGCACTGCCTTCAAACCCAGGCCTGGTTGACTCCCAAGACTGGTTATCTCAACATATTATGCTGTTTCCAAAGAAGCTTGTCACTCATTCATTTACCCATGCAATCAACAATTGCTCGTGACGCTGCGGGGCACCATGTTAGGCCTGGGGTGACACTGGGTGCCCTGATGGCTCTTGCGGTTTACCAGGGGCATAGGGCACATACCCCTAACAGCTGCTGACCCCGATCCCCTCTCCCTTGTCCTTTCCTCCAACCTTGCCTACCCTGCCGTCCTACCCTCCAGGCCTGCACCCCTGCACTGCAAATAAGACCTCTGCTCCCCACTCCGGCTGCAGCTCCATCTTCCCGAAGGACTCAAGCTCTCACTTGGCACAGAGAAGCCAGTGCTGTGACCAAGCCCCTCTCTCTTCCCGTGGAGTTGCTCCCTTCTCCCTGCTTCTTTGCCTTTAGGGCTCCCTAAGCATTCCCCTCTCCTCTGAGCCTTTCTGCCCCAGGGGTAGATGACCCATCTGCCAGAAACCTCTCCCGCCCTTCAAACACACCCCTCATTGTCCCCTGCCTCCACCTCAGCAAGCGCTCTCTCAGCCTCAGAATTCTCAGGCCCCAGTGTTCCACAAGCTGAGGGGGCCAGAGGCTCCAGAGGGGATCTGGCCCCTTCTCTGTCCCCACCTGGAGCTTACAACCTCTGTGAGAGTCTGGACAAGAAGGGGAAGACCCCAACCCCAGCAGCAGAAGGGCATGGAATCTGAGGACAGAAGTGGGGGTGGGGTGGGCGGCAAATAAAGGCTATATCCTCCTTTCAAAGCACTTTCTTGCTCAAAGCTTCACTGAGATTTAACTCATGTATCACACAACTCATCCACTTAAAGTGGACAGGTCAGTGGCTTTTACTTATTTATTTATTTAATGCACATACTGAAGACTGCACCCAGGACCTCCTGCATGCTAAGCACGCACCACTCTACCACTGAGCTATACCCACCTCCCTCAATGGCTTTTAATATATTTCAAGAATTATGCAATCCTCACTCCAATTTTAGAACATTTTCATCACCCCAGAAAGAAACCCCACACCCCTTAGCCATCACCTCAATCCTCCCACCCCACCCCCAGCCCTAGGCAACCACTAATCTACTTTCTGTCTCTATAAATTTGCCTATTCTGGACATTTCATTTAAATGGAATCATACAGTATGTGTTCCTTGGTGACTGGCTTCTTTCACTTAGCAAATGTTTTCAAGGTTCATCCGTGTTGTAGCTTGAATTACCCCTTCATTCCTTTTTATAGCCAATATACTAGGTTTTGTATTTCCATTCATCAGTTGATAGACACTTGAGTTGTTTCCACTTCTTGGCTGTTATGAATAACTCTGCCATGAACATTTGTGTACAAATTCTTGTATGTGGGTATGTTTTCATTTCTCTTGGGTGTGTACCGAGGAGTGGAATTGCTGGGTCATGTGGTAACTCTTTGTTTAGCCCCTTGAGTGACTGCCATACCGTTTTCCTAAGTGGCAGCATCGTTTTTACATTCCCACCAGCAGTAGCCTGGCGCAGGGGAAACGGAAGGGCCTTTCAATACTTACTACAGCAACGTATGAGGGTTCTAATTTTCTACCTCCTCACCAACACTTATTATCTGTTTTTTTTTTTAAATTCTGGCTATGGTAGCAGGTGTAAGTATAAAGTGGTATCTCCTTGTGGTTTTGATTTGCATTTCTCTGATGGCTAGTGACGATGGGCAGCTCTTCATGTGCTTATTGGCTATTTGTGTATTTTCTTTGGAAATAAATGTCTATTCAGGTTCATTGTCCATTTATAAACTGGGTTATTTATCTTTTTATTATTCAATGGTAAGAACTCTATATATTCTAGATGCAAGTTCCTTGTCAGATAAGTAATTTGCAAATTTTTGCTCAAATTATATAAATTGTACTTTCACTGTTTTTGTCCTTCGAAGCACAAAAGTTTTTTAATTTTGTTAACGTCCCAATTATCTATGTTTTCTTTTATTGCTTGGGCTTTTAGTGTCATATCTAAGAATCTGTTAGATTCATCTTATTATGCCATAAATCCAAGGTCATAAAGATTTATGTCTGTGTTTTCTTCTAAGAGATGTATAGTCTGAGCTCATACATTTAGGTCTATGATCCATCTTGAATTACATTTTGTATATGATGTGAGATAGGGGTCCAGCATCATTCTTTTGCACGTGGAACATAAATGTCTCATCCTAGTGCCATTTGTTGAAAATTCTTTCTCATTTCTATCCTTTCTCAACTGAGTTGTCTTGGCACACTCATGGAAAGTCAACTGGCTGTAAATGTGAAGGTTTATCTCTGGATTCTCAATTCTATTCCACTGATCTATCATCTATCCTTATACCAGTATTATACTGTCTTGATTACTGTAGCTTTGCAGTAAATATTGAATAGCGAAGTGTGAGTCCACCAATTTCGTTCTTTTTCAAGATTGTTTTGTTATCTAGTGTCCTTTTATAAGTGGTTTCCCCATGTGAGAAATGGGGGAACTTCTCGTAGAAATGTCTATGATGGCAGGAAAATATAGCAGGGAAAGATGATAAGTGATCTATCATATACACTTCTGGAAGCCACCGAGGAAAGCTGCTCACATCAAACCCCCACCTTGGCCCTGGACCTACCAGAATGCAGCTCGATGAATCACGGCGAGATTTGCATCCCTGTCACCTCCTCACATATGAGACATGGGCTCTGTCTGAGCCTACACTCTGCCTGTTGGGTTGAATGGAATTCGTTGGGTAAATAATGTAGTTAACCTGGAAATAGCCAGTCGGCCCAGTTATTCTCAGCAGCAAAGGTTTAGAAATGCATTTCAGGCAGGTCGTGCCCTGTGGTTGGGGTTTGGAAATAAGACTGACCTCTCGCAGCTAGAGCGCAGTGTAGTTTTCCCTGGGCTGGTCACTGTTTCAGTGGCTCGATTACATAGTAAGGATAACAATCCTTGCCTCGCCTACCTCACAGGGATTATTGTGTCAAGGTAACCTCTTTCAGAGAGCCTTCCCTGACTGCCCCCAGACTTGGCTCTCACACGCTCCTGGGAGTTTCCAACATCATAGCCCTTTTCCATATGCATTGTAAATTAAATGACTTTTTCTTTCTGTCTCCTCCAGTCTGTTGGCTCCATGAAAGCAGGAGTTGAGTGGGCCTCATCTCTGTGGCCCCAGCACCCAGCACCTGCTCTATAGCAGGTGCTCAATGTCCATCTATCAAGAACCAGAAGTGCTCTGAACACGTTGTAAGATCTGGCTGCTCTCCATTATCCCCCCACCCACACCCTCACCCCCCATATGGAGCGAGAATTCCCTTCCAGGTTCATGAAAGGAAGGTGTCCTACCAGCAGCAGCCACAGGGGGAGGCCCAAAACAGTCACCACAGGCCAACCTCTTGCTGCTTGGCTTCCAGAGAGGAAGTGGTAGAATTCCGTGCTGATGGTGGACGGTGTCCCAAAGTTTAGCTCTTAAGAGCTGGTCCTAGATGCTCTCCCAGCTGGAAGTTTCCCCAACTAAGTGGGTCCAGGTGCTTTATTCCTGGGATACCCTACTTCCCCCTGTTGTTCAGCACATACTGATGCAAAGAGTCAGAGTGTGAAAGAGAAAACATGGTGGCCCATCCCCAAATTGCCTCTTGGCTTTGAGATGAAGCCAATGGAACACGCACACACACACAAACACTCATTTACTAATTTACTCACTGAGCACTTACTCTGTGCCAGGCCCTGTGCTGCTGAATATAGGGGTCCACAGGTGGCAGGGACAGGGTCCCACATTCAAGAAGCTTGTAGTCCAGTGGGAGAGCAGACATGTAAACAGAATGATGAGAAGTAAGGGTAAAAGATTGTCACTGTGGGCATGTGCCCTCCCTTCCCATCTCAGTATCTCTCTGCTCCAGCTTCTAAGGGGAGCTCTGTCTTTGCCACTGCAGGACTTTAGGAAAACGAGACAGGACCAAAGAACTAGGAGGAAGAAATCTCATTTTCTGAGTCACTTCTCAGTTTCTTCATTGTTGTGCAGAATCAGGGTAATGAGCAAAGTTGAAATTAGCGGTTAAATCGATTCACATAAAGAAAAGTTAACTTCATACCCACCAAGATGGCTATTATCGAAGGAAACGGAAATTAAGAATTGGCAAAGATGTGGAAAAATTGGAACCCTTTCTCCAATTTTTGCTGGTGGAAACGTACAATGCAGCTGCTATGGAAAACAGTTCAGTAGTTCCTCAAAAAGCAACACATAGAATTCCCATATGGGCCAGCAGGTCCACCTCTGGATATATACTCAAGAGAATTGAAAACAAGGGCTTGAACTGGAATTTGTACACCAGTGTCCACAGCAATGTGATTCACAATAGCTGAAAGGTGGAAACAGCCCAAATGTCCATCAGCGGATGAATGAATAAACAACATGTGGTGTGTCCATCGTTGACCTGACATAAATAGACTGCCAGAATTTCTCCAGCAAAGATGGGTTTACTTGAAATCAGCAGAGAATTGTATCTCAAGAACTGCAACCATGCCAGCCATGTGCAAGTTCCCTCAGGGCAGGGGAAGCAGAACTCTTTGACAGTGGGGAAAAGGCAGTTGAGAGGGCTACAGTAAACAAGGGGTCCATGGCTTTTCATTGCTTGAGGCCTTGCCAGGAAAGAAGGGGAGTCGTTCTTTTTCCTGTTTGGCTCTGCTATGGTCCCAGGATGTGACAACTCCCAATTCTGGTCTCCTGACTATTTAATTGAGGTTTCAGTTTGTTAATTTTTTTTACACCATATAATAGGATATCATTCAGCCATCAGAAGGAATGAAATTCTGATACAGGCTATGGCATGGATAAACCTTGAAAACATTATACTAAGTGAAATTAGCAGACACAAAGACAATACCTATACGATTCCACTTAGATGAGGTACCCAGAATAGGCAAATTCATATACAGAAAGTAGAACAGAGGTTATGAGGGGCTGGAGGTAGTGGGAAATGGGGTGTTATTGCTTAATGGGTATAGAGTTTCTGTCTGGGATGATGAAAATTTCTGAAAATAGATAGTGGTGATAGTTATACAACATTGTGAATGTATTTAATTTCAGTAATTGTACACTTCAAATGGTTAAAATGGTAAAGTTTATGTTATGTATGTTTTACCATAATAAAAATTTTTAATTTAAGAGGGTAGATCAACACTATAATAAAGAGCTTATACAGTGAGTGAAAAGAGAGAGAGAAGAAGGAGAAGAGGAGGTGGAGAAAGTTTGGGAGAAACTGGCGAATCAGAGATTTGGGTTCAGCGGTGCCCTATATAGGACCTGCCATATTGTAAGCACTTAATCAAATATTTGTGTAATGAATGAGAGAATGTTGCAGAAAGATTGGCCCCCATCCCTTATAAGCCAAATAACACAGAGACAGGGTCTTAGAGTGCAGAATAAAAGAGGCAGCTTTATTGCTTTGCCAGGCAAAGGGGACTCACAGCAGGCTAGTGCCTTCAAAACTGTAAACCCGTCTTAGGATTGGGGCTTAGTGATTATACAGTGAACAAATTGGGGTGTAAAAGGTGATATTAATCATCAAGAGTCTCTGGTGAAGCTTCCTCCTAAATCCCAGCGAGCCTGTCCAGCATCGTGGGACCACTCAGTGCTCTGGAGGGTCATCAATCTGTGACCTTTTTTATCTGATCAGACTCATCAGGTGCCAGGAGGAACTTCGGAGGGTCTGGTCATTCTCCCAAGAGCAATGTCCTGTGACTCCCTTCCTGGGGGAATGACTCAGAATCCAAACATGATTTTAAATTTCAATTGCCAGAGTGAGGTAGAACAAATAGGGAAATCAGTAACTTCAGCTTTAACAACGGGCCTCAGGCTGGGAGCAGTGTCTGGACAGTCAGGTTTGCTGATCGTTCTAAAAGCAAGCAGTAAGCATAAAGCCAAGAATTAGTTAGCCTGAGCGTGGCCATTTTATTATTTCTCCTTCAAAAATGGCAGAGAAGGAGAAGGGATTTTGAGAATGTGACTATGGTTAGATGTAACTCCTATAACATTCTCTGAGAAATCCAAGTTAAGAGTGGATGCTTTTAAAATTACCTGTGTTATTAATAAACTTTGCTTCTTTAAATACCTTTTGTTGAATCTAGGCCACAGGGGCCCCTGGGCACATGGTGGGTTAGCAAAAGGGTGGCCGGCTAGGGACATCGCACTTAACTGGTGGGTCAGGTAAGGATTTCTCTAGGAGGAAAAGCCTCAGTGGAGTCTTACAGAGTCAGAAAATGCGAGGACATTCAGGAACTGCAGAGGGAGCACAGGCTGGAGGAGAAAAAGGCATCAGGGTGAGCTGTCTAGGTATCTACAGCTTTGAATCTCAGCCAGTTGGACACCAGGTTGAGTGTTGAAGCGATGGGGCTGACCCACAGCCACACAACAAATTACAGTTTTCTCTGTGGCCCTGTAAGCGGAAGCCTCCTCATCAAGTCAGTTCTGGATCCGTCCGCCGCCTGTCTTGAGCCAGGCCTCCAGCAGGGGGCGCGCGGGCGATGAGCGGCCGAGGCCCGCGAGCTGCCGCTCTAGCCTGACGCGGGTCATAGAGTCGCGCCGCTTCCGCCCCCGCTGCGGGGAAGGAGGCGGAAGTCCGGCAGGCTCCGGGCGTCGAGATGGAGGAGGGAGAGTACGAGTCTGTTCTGTGTGTCAAGCCAGAGGTCCACGTCTACCGCATCCCGCCGAGGGCCACGAACCGTGGTTACAGGTGACCACCCGCTGTCGAGCCAGGCTAGAACCCGACCTAACCCCTTCCCTGCTTCCCTGCCGCCCCGACACGGCCACTGTGGGAGCCGAGAACACCTCCCTTCCCGGCCCGTTGAGGGGCCAAGGGCCAGGAGCGAGGGGGGAGGTAATGCTGTGGCTTCTTCCAGTTCGAGGCTAGGGCAGAGAGGGGGACCCAGACTCTCAGTGCGACGCATGGGGCTCCCGGCGGCGGGGAAGGCGTTAAAGCCGTATCTAGCACTTGGGAACCCCGGTGAGTCGTTGGGGACCCTCAACGTGGTCAGGAGCAGTGGTGTCACAGACCTGTATTTTTCATCCCTAATTAATGGCTTTGAAGGGATCCTTGAAAAGCTTGAAGGGGGAGGGGCCCTGTCACAGGCAGAAATCCCCGAGGAAAAGGAAGGAAGGAAGGGAGTCCAGAATCGGTCAACAGGACCCATCCCGGGAATTTTTGAACTGATGTTAAAAACCCAGGGACCCTTCCTTGGCTCATCTGTTACCGCACGAACTCCAGCCCTTCTCACAGGCTGTGGCAGTTGGAAGGAATCAATCCGCACTTCTCCAGTGAAATGTTCACCTGGGACGAATAAATACGCATAGATTTGTAGATGTGGAGTATCTCGAAGGGAACACCGGAAACTGCCGGACCGGTGGAAAAAGGGGATTGGAAGGAGATTTCCTTTCGCTGTATATCTTTTTGTACTGTTTGCATTTTGTTACCATGTATCACAAGACGAAAAATATTAAAAAGAGAAAAAGATGTACTTGATACAGACAACCTGGCCTATGGCTATTTTGTGCCACCATAGGAGGGTGGGGAGGGCTTTTGAAGGTAGTGTTTGTCCAAGTGATTTGGAAATACAAGATTGGCCTGCACAACAAGAATGATAGAGTGTCCACATGTCTGGCCTTTTGTTCCTTTCCAGTTGTGTTAACAGGGCTCATAGCTGCTTTTCTAGTGAACAAGTATTTTGTTGAACACCTGCTACGTCGATGACATAATTTTAAAATAGTATGAAGGTAATGGTAATAACATAACAAAAACACATTTCTTTCTATCATCGATCTGGAGATGGGCCACCAAATTAGGGATGCTCGTCTATCCCCATCCCTTTCTGTAGGATGAGTTTGGTGTCTCTTGGTCTCTCAGAGTGAGATTACCAAGTGTCAGGGATGGCTAGGTTGGCACAGAGGAAACTGCCAGCTCTGGTACTTCATCCTCAGGGCTGTCTTAGCTTGAGTCTAAGGCCTCTTGCTCCAAGAAGAGGAACGGAAACTGAGTCTGCTGACTTGTGAATTGAGAGTCTGCACTTTGTGTGAACTTCAAAACAGCCTGCGTCCACAGTTACGGCATATGCTTAGGGACTTCCAAGAAAAGCCTCTTGGAAACACCCAAGGTTTTTGCTCTTTGGGGGTTTTACTGAGCTGCTTCTTAGAACTAAAATGTGAAGTTAATGCTTTAAAAGAGGCCATTGTGATAGGTCCGTGGTTTCCTGGGTTCATTTCTGCTTAGGATACCTTTGAGAATATATTTCTTGAACACTCTTTCACTCTTCTCACATGTCCTGTTGCTCTCCTTTTCCCTTTTCGCTGGTGGTTGCTCCCCTCTCTCCTTTTTCTCCAAGATGGCCTCAGTGGTCCCAAATGATCACTCTGATGACCTGAGCCTAGCAGGATTTTAAACAGACTGTGGGCCCCAGTAGCTGCTTCCTCTACATAGAGAAACCGGAATCATACTTCAGGGAGGTTCTCTGTAAGCTAGAACTGAGGTTGGCAAACTGCGGCCCACTATGTTTTTGTCTGGCTATAAGTTAAGAACAGTTTTTACATTTTTAAGTGGTTAGGAAAATTTTAAAGAATAATATTTCATAATGTGAAAATTACGTGAAGTCTAGATTGTCCTTAAAGTTTCACTGGAACAAGCCATGCTCAGTAGAAAATATTTGGTTAAAATACTTAAAGCACCAGCCTGCTCATGTACCGTGACTGCTTGTTCTCTGCAGGAGCAGAGCAGGCAGTTGGGATAGAGGTCGTATGGTCCTTCTCAGAAAAGTTTGCCTACCC